GCCAGCCCAGCCAATCCAGCTCCTTGCAACTCCCTAGCCAGCCACCGGGAGCACTAGATAATTTATTCATTTATTCACCTCACTAGACACAGCATGAGGTGAATAAATGAATACATTATCTAGTGCTCCGCGGGCCGGCTTGAAACGGCCGCCGGGCCGTATACGGCCCGCGGGCCGTAGTTTGCCCATTGCTGGTCTATCTGGCAGATTTTTGGCCGCTAATGATGAAAATAAACTAATCTAATCTATGATGTACCATTTAATAGACATCATCTGTTTTTGCAATTTCTTTTATATATTTTAAGTTTATTAATTTTCATTTGTGTTATAAGACGCTTTGTGTAATTTATGCGTGTCCAGGCATGCATTTGGGATATCTCATAATATTTGTGGAACTTGGGCATAGGCATGCTTAGGCTGAATGGATGCTGCCTGGAAAGACTATAAAAGCAGCTCACATGCGTGAATGCTACTCATTTTGTTCTATAATTTGCTTATACAAATTACACCATACACAGTCAATGCTATGCTTTTAAACAATCACATCAAAATTATCAATAAATGCTGTAGGGGAACAAGAGGTAATTGGGGGCGAGTTGTTATGCCTCCAATCCTTGTACTTAATATTGGCAGGCATGATGGGAAGGTTTTGGAATTTTGGGTTGAAACATGGATTTTTCATTCATTCAACAAAAATGTTATCCACAATTCCTTCAGTACTAGTGTCCGAAAAAATGCAGGCAAGGCAAGTCCAGGAGAGCTTATTTCGAGATGAGGGAAATTTTCTTGCCTCAGATTTTCACCTTAGCCCGTTTTCAACTGCTTCATGAGCTGTAATCCCAACTGGTGATTTTGCTTGCATTTGTATTTATTTTTAGAAGCATTGACCTAAGGATGATTTGTAACTCAGTCTTACTCCAAGACCATCCTTTGTTAGTAACTCACCAAGATTTGGGCTCCATCTTGTCTATCAACCTCGATATGATCTCTGTTACGTACATTTCATGTATGGTGATATTTTAGCTGAGTAGGTGGAAACTATTCTCAAGGACTATTTTGTTCTCTTCCGTGTCCTGTGTTGAAGTAGAGATGAACCAGCAGATGGATTTTTCAAAATAGGCATTTCCCCCCCCCTTTGGATAGTCAAGGTAACCAGATCTATTAGAAGTTTGGCAGCTATATGGGTTCTTGTTAATTCCCTCCGATTGTCAAGCTTTTTTATTATGCTCATCAGATTTGTCTCCAATGTTCTTGAAAAATGGTTTGCTGTGGGAAGCACGGTTGTTTATTTAGGCACTCGGAGAATGATAGAAGGTCCTTAAGAGTTACAACTTATAAAGTGGAAGCACACTTATTGCCAAGATGAGCTCTCCCTCTGGGAAGACCTCATGCTTGCTCAAAAAAGGTTTCATTTTGAACAATAGGTTGGCAATACAGTAGTAAGATTTTTGAATGAATTTGTTCAGCATTTTAATGGGAAACCATTTGACTTTGCAAATCAACTAATTTGCTTTTCACAATATAGAAGCTGACTGAAGAAGAGAATGGTCCCACTTCCCCATTTTCCTCTATTTTGAATAAGTCTAATGATTTGGTTTAGCTATAACTGATATGATTTACTTATCTTTCATCAATGCTTCCTGGAAGAGGGAATTTGCTTTGCACACTCCTGGATGTAAGTTTAGATCTCATTGCTTATTCCACACAATGGATTTCAAATTAGGATCCACCTTTGCCACCACTATTGTCTGTTTTTGATTCACAATTGCCTCTGCATGAGCTTGTTTTAGCTGACTCAGCAGCAGTACTTGGATGACTAAGCATAGCAGAGGTCCCTTAGCGTGCCTACTTTGTTAACTGGTAAGAACTCACAAAATTGTTTTGTGTCCTCAGTAAGCATTATCAGGTTAAGGAGTCGGTAACTTGTTTTTTAGTTCCTCGTCCCCTTGTTGGATAAGCCTTGCAGAGCTGTATAAATAGCTGTGATCTGAAAAAGGAAGCTTTTTGGGGATAGTGGCAGGTCTTAAAAGAGTTAGGAGCTCTCTGCTTGTAGATCCCATTCCAGGGGGTCATATCATAACCTTTGTCAGTTTTTACTGTGAGCACATTTGCCCACATTAAAAATGAAATTCTGTTCCTTGCTACATGTGTGCGTGTATACACATACCTATCCCTCTGTGTGTGTGTGTGTGTGTGTATACACATAAGTATTAATCACTGTCCATTTTGAACACTGGAAAATAAACTTGGCAGTTCCCAAGTTCACACTATATCAGTGGTTCTCAACCTTTTTAATGCCGCGACCCCAACCGGTTGTAAGTCGAGGACTAAACCGGTCGTAAGTCGAGGACTAAACCGGTCATAAGTCGAGGACTACCCAACAGGTCGTAAGTCAAAGACTTTCCCTGCCTGGGAGCGCCGCGCATGCGTGGTTCCGCCCCCTGCGTCGGCCGAGGCGTAGCTGGCAAGCGGCAGAGACGGAGCAGGCCGACCACCAGCTGGCCCAGCCCAAGGGAGGTAAGGCACCCGCCGGAAAAGGGGAAAAAATGGCAGACAGGCTTGCTTGGCGACCCCCATGAAATGGTCGATCGACCCCAAATGGGGTCCCGACCCACAGGTTGAGAACCACTGCACTATATGGAACAAAACAGACTGATTCTGGATGTTCGGCTTTGGATGCCATGAAGCCTTCTCCCAGAAGGTAACAAGGAAAACAGGTCATGAAGAGGATATGTAGTGTCCCAAACAATTCTGTGGACCCTGCTCAAGCATCACTTATGTGCTTGTATCATCAAATGTAGGAGACTTTTTGTTAAGGCAAGAGGCTAGTTTTTGGGTATATATTGACTTAGCAGGCTTGGGTGAAGTCAGGATAATGTGAGTGCTGCCTCTTCTTCCTCCTGTCCATGCAGCAGTTTGAAAGTGCAATATTGGGTACCACTTTGGTGGGAAAAACCTAGCTGTGCTTATGTGGAC